CTAGTATGGGGATCACCTTCAGGCGCTTCAACACCTCCGCGTGGCCCATGGAGCCGTCCACCAGGCGCGACGCCGATCGGGGCAGCCAGGACCCGCGGCCCGCTGGCGAGATCCCGTCCTCCTCTCCACGCAGAAGGCCGCTTGGAGGGTCTCTGGTGCTCCCCAGAGCTCCCAAGAGGTCCACAGATGCGAGGTCGGGGTCTATCCTGAGGTCGGACATGTCCCCCTACATACGGATTTGGGACGAATAAATAGAAATATTCAAACAGATACCCTAAAATACTCCAAAAATAATCGCAAAATCGTCCCCAGACTAATTTGGACGATGTTTGAATATTCCTCCTGTAGAGGGACATGCCCGCCTTGCATCTATCCATACCCTGCGCCCGTGGCGCCGATCTTCTGGGACCTCGGCGGGCGGGGAGGGCATGGACGTGGTTCGGCCCCAGGGAGCCCAAACGTGTCCACGTCCGCCGCCCGCTGCCGAGGTCTCCGAGCGTCGATCTGCCAGGCGGTGGCTATGTGGGTGAATCCCGACCTCGGAGCACAGGCGCCAGATGGTGGCCGCCAGAGGCCTCCCGAGGACCGAGAGAAGTGCCAAAAAGAGCCGAAAGGGCCCAAGAACTTGATCCTCGACCCTCGAGGATCGAGGCCAATCACCCGCGTCGTTCCGCCCTGCCTCCTGCCCTCAGGGGGGAGGGAGAGGGGGGCGAAGGAAGAGCACTGCGCACATGCACCATCCCGGCTGGACCCGTCCTGGGCCCAGGCTCGGCGTGTAACTACGCCCTCCTTGGTCGGCGGGCATGGCCAGGATCATGTGTGTGAATGTGTGTGAATGTGTGTGAATGTGTGTGAATGTGTGTGAATGTGTGTGAATGTGTGTGAATGTGTGTGAATGTGTGTGAATGTGTGTGAATGTGTGTGAATGTGTGTGAATGTGTGTGAATGTGTGTGAATGTGTGTGAATGTGTGTGAATGTGTGTGAATGTGTGTGAATGTGTGTGAATGTGTGTGAATGTGTGTGAATGTGTGTGAATGTGTGTGAATGTGTGTGAATGTGTGTGAATGTGTGTGAATGTGTGTGAATGTGTGTGAATGTGTGTGAACGTGTGTGAACGTGTGTGCATGTGTGTGCATGTGTGTGCATGTGTGTGCATGTGTGTGCATGTGTGTGCATGTGTGTGCATGTGTGTGAATATGTGTGAATGTGTGTGAATGTGTGTGAATGTGTGTGAATGTGTGTGAATGTGTGTGAATGTGTGTGAATGTGTGTGAATGTGTGTGAATGTGTGTGAATGTGTGTGAATGTGTGTGAATGTGTGTGAACGTGTGTGAATGTGTGTGAATGTGTGTGAATGTGTGCGAATGTGTGTGAATGTGTGTGACTGTGTGTGAATGTGTGTGAATGTGTGTGAATGTGTGTGTGTGAATGTGTGTGAATGTGTGTGAATGTGTGTGAATGTGTTTGTGTGTGTGTGCATAGTTCTCGTCGCCCCAGGAGGGGGGGGGGGGGGGGGGGCACACACCACCCATCGCTTGTCATGAGGGCAAGGGGACCGAGGAAGGCAGGCCCTGGGCCCTGGGACTTCTCCCCCAAAAGACCCGCTCTTCCTCCTGAGCCGTTCTCCGACGGCCCCCGCAGGCCCCACGGCGGCGAGCGGGCTCCGCGAGCCTCTCCTCCTCCTCCTCCTCCTCCTCCTCCTCCTCCTCCTCCTCCTCCTCCTCCTCCTCCGCCTCCTCCTCCTCCTCCTCCTTCACGGCGAACCGATGTGGCCTTGGCTGCCCTGAAGCCAGCCGGCTGGCCGGGCAGTCGGCCTGCTGGGCGGGCAACGCCCACACGGCGACCAGGTGCAGGGGCGCCAGCCGCACGCTGAGCACGAGCAGCGTGCGCTCCTCGCCCTCACGGCGCACGCGGTGGACGGTCTTCGCCCTGTCCGATGTCGAGACGTGGACGATCTCCTCCGACGCCCTGAAGAGGTCGACCACGAGCAGCTCCAAGAGCGCCGAGGCGCTGGGCGCCTTGGCCCTGTCTCGCAGGTAGCCCGGCCCACGCACGCTGAAGGTCGTACCGTCCACGTCGTCCCACGAGTTCACCTCGCCGCCTCGCCGCGAGCAGATTCCCCAGGGGCTGCCTCCCCCCGTGGAGAGGAGGGTGTTGGCGCGGCTGAGTCGTCGAGAAGGCTTGCCGCTCGCACTGAACTCCCGGCGGAAGCTTTCGATCTCGAGGGAGTCCGCACCCGAGAAGTGCTCCGACACACGGAGCATCCTCGCGTGGTCGTCGTCCTCCTCCACGCAAGCAAGGATGCACTTCCGCTCAGACGTGCTGTCCTCGACTGGCCAGGCCCACCCTGGGCCCAGGGCTGGTGCCCGTTCCCACCATGATCTGGGCCAAGGAGGGTCGTACACAAACCCTTGGCCAAGGCTGGGCCTGGCCGAGCCTGGCGCTGCTGTGGAGCTGGCGTCGCCCGAAGATCCTGTGGCGAAGCTCCGCCGTCGAGCTGGCTGGCCTTCCCGTCTGGCGCAGCGCACGCCAGGCCTTGCAGAAACTCTAGGAGCTCTGCGGCTCCCAGGCAGCCCAGTTCTAGCCGCGCAGCCGCCGCCGCTGCCCTGGCCCGCGCTTCCGCCACCATGACGAACCCTTCCGCAGCCAGGCGAGCCTCTTCGGCATCCACCCGCTCGAGGAGCTCCGCAGTGCTCGCGGCGCGGAGCGCGGGCCAGGTGGTCGGCGTGCCAGGGCGATCGTGGTGGACGAGCACGTCCACGGCCTGCTCCGCCGCGGAGCGGGCCGCAGCAGCCAGCCCAAGCGCATCTGCCTTGCTCGCTGCTGACCCCGTTGCTGGCCCCGCTGCTGGCCCGGCCGGCGCGGTCCTGCGGCGGCGCTGGGCCAGAATGCGCACCTGCGACAAACACGGGAGCAGCACGCAACAGCACCCCTGCTCTGTCTTGTCGACTCCACGGCGCGCTTGGCCCCACGCTCCACCAGCTGCTTCGGCGGCAGAATGACGAGGGCGTTCTGCCGCCTCACGGTGCGCCGTGGCGCCGCACCCCTGCTGCGCCAGGTGCGCCTTCAGCGCCTCCAGCTGCGAAGCTAAAGGGATGGCCGAGGATACACCCAGCTGCTGCAGCCTTTGCAGCGTGGCCTCCTCGAACGCCTCGACGATGAACGACCTCGCCCGCGGCGGCTTGGCGCGGCCAGGTGCCGCCCTTGCCCCCGCTGGCGAAACGGCAATGCCACCACCTCCGCCCTGGGGCCAGCTCGGATCTGGGCTCTGCTCGCGTGCCCCCGGTGGCCCATGTCGCGGAGCGCTCCCGGCGCCGAGCGGATCGGGGGGGAGGTCGAAGCCTTCCTCATGACCGTCCGCCTGCTCGGGGGGCGGGCTGTGCTCGCCCGTGGGGCCCGCATCATCGCCACAGTCAAGGCAGGTGGAGGCGGGGGCGCTAGGGCTCCAGCAGCAGGCTGGCGCCTGCATCACGGCCGCACGCCCAGCATGCTGGGCCGATCGCACGCTTCGCCCGCCTCCCGCGGCCAACCGGGGCCTGCAGCCAAAGGCTATGGCAAGGTCCCCAGTGTACGAGCGCGCACACACACACACACACACACACACACACACACACGGACACACACACGCACACACACACGCGCGCGCACACATTTGAAGTCGGCGGCGCAGAGGGACCGCAGGCGCGGTCGGCAGGTGGAGGTGCCAATTGCGAACGAACTTAATCGAACGCGCCATGAAAAGCAAGCCCAGTCACGGCAGTGCAGATTGGTGGCACGCGCACGCACACACAACGCCGACACCACCTGAATCCAATGCCTGCGGCAACAAACACCACCGTCCTTTCCCCGATCGGGCTTGCCCCATGGGTTCTGTAAGGAGACTAGAGACTCTGTCTGGCGTACCCTGGCTGGCCAGCTCCTCGTGACTTCGGCAGTGGCTTCACGTGCAAATGCCATGCTATGCTGTGCTACTGATAACGCTGGCATTCATGTGACATTAATGCGAATACTCATGCGAACGTTATGACGCCATGATGATACGATACTTGTTTGTGTTGTGTTGCCTAATGGAATGTGCTGTGCTGTGATGTGCTAGGCTGCACTGCGAAATGGCTAAGCCAAGCATCCAATGATATTCAAACATATGCATACACAAATACCACGCCAGGCCAAGCTACACTACTGAGACCACCCGTCGGGCGACAAAGAATTTGGGGGGAAGGGGTGCGCTTCTCAGTCTGCGACGACCTCGCGTCAGGGACTTTTCTGGTCTCCCAGAAAACCCCTGGCCAGACGTCCGGCAGGACTAGGGCATCTGTCCTCAGGCCACACGCGGACGAGCGCCGCTGCACGCGCGGGGCGGAGAACATCGAAATATGCTGGCAGAGGAGGCGTGGCGATCAGGGGACACGTCGGCCTGTTATCTTTTAGCGCTCGTTGGGCATCGGCCTGGCTTCGGCCCCGCGTGGAGGGGACCTTTGCCGAGGGTGACCTTTAGTGCAATGCTTTTTGGGAGGGGGGGGGGCGCGTCAGTCCAAGAGCGACCCCTCGGGCGCCTTCGGAGGCCCTGTGAGGGGCGCCCACCGGCGACCCCGTGGCCAGGCGCTGGAAGCCACCCCGGCGAGAGCGCACCCTTACGCATCGCCGAAGGCAGCGAAGACGAGACGCCGAAGGCCCTCGGCGCCGCCGCCGCCGCCGCAGTCGTCGGCACCTCCGTCGCTGCCGCCATGCTCTGCCTCTTGTGTGTCGTCGTCTTGGGCGTGGTCGCCCCCTGAGATCCGACACCGCAACAAAAAACAAAAACCCGCGCCGCCGAAGAGCACGACCGCCGCCCTGGGCTCCAGATCTCTCCGCGAGGGCGCCGGGGCCCACGAGTAGGGCGAACAGCGCCCGGCCTGACGAAGTCCGCGGCGCCGGGATCTCGGGGCAGGCCCGGCGGCCGGGCCGGCGAGACGTCGAGGAAGCCCTTCGCCCTTCGGCGCACAGTCAGGGGCGGGGCCTCCTCGGCCAGCCACGCCACGCCCAGCATCGCCTCCGCCGCCAGGGCTGCGGGCGGACACGTGCGGGCGCCCACGGCCGCGGCCTCCGTCAGGAATTCGCGCCTCGACTGCCGAGCGCAAGGATCCCTTCAGTTTCCTCGTCTCACGTCTCGCGTTCTCCGTCTCCTCGTCCTCGTCTTCACTCTCACTCTCCCGCTCTCGGTCTCTCTCCTCTCTCTACCTCTCTCTCTCTCTCTCTCTGTCTCTCTCTCTCTCTCTCTCTCTCTCTTTCTTTTTCTCTCTCTCTCTCTCTCTCTCTCTCTCTCTGTCTCTCTACCTATCTCTTTGCGTTTCTCTGGCTGTGTGTATCTGTATGTGTTTTCGCTATACACAGATTCCTCTCTCTCTCTCTCTCTTTCTCTCTCACTATCTCTCTCTGTCTCTCTTTCTCTATGTCTTTCTCTCTACTTGTTTCTCTTTCTGCCCCTCTCTTTCTCTCTGTTCTTGTTATCTCTCTCTCTCTCTGTCTCTCCGTCCCGTCTGTCTCTCTCTCTCTCTCTCTCTGTCTCTCTCTATGTCTCTAGATACAGCCTTCTCTCTCTCTATATATATACATGTATAGATATACAAATGTCAAAACTATATATTGCACACATATGTATAAGTGTACAAATTCGAACAAAAAAAAACACAGTATGGACGCACGTGTGGGAATGGCTGTGCAAACATATGCAAGAAGCAATATCCCCCGTCATTTATATACATACATACATGCATGCATGCGAGTGTGTCGAACTACTACATAGATGTAGCACAGGAATACAAAAGCCAACATGTGTATAAAGCATTATGCATGTGTGCAGATGTATGCGCATACACGCGCGTCAATATACAGGTTCGTATATGTATACATACTTTTGCTTGCGTGAGCAAGCGTGGACCTCAAATCGTGTCACTCGCAATGTACAATGCTGGTTATATGGTGTGCAAAATATGATGTGCATATCTGCGTGACGCAGTCTATGTGGAGCAACATCGGCGTACTAACTATGTGGTGCAATAGCTGTGGTGCGGTTTACACGGTACAGTCTGTGTAGTGCAATATGTGTGGTGTCATCTATGATGTGCAACTGATTTGTACCCATGATGTGACACATCCCACGCTCTTGCAAACATCCCACCCACCCACCCGCAACTTGGCTTGCAAAACCTCTTCAGACCGACTACGACGACACCGACGACGACGACTACGACGACACCGACGACGTCTCCGACGACTTCGACGACGACAACGACGCCGACGCCGACGAAGACGACGACGCCAACGAAGACGACGACGAGGGAGGAGGAAGAAGGACGACGACGGCGACAACGACGACAACGACGACAACGACGAGGGAGGAGGGAGGACGGCGACGACGCGAACGACGAAGAAGGAGGAAGGACGGCGACGCCGACGACGACAACGACGAGGGAGGATAGAGGACGACGACGACAACGACAACGACGACGCGCGCGCGCACGCTTTTGTTGAAAATCCGTGTTGCGAAACCTTATGTCTTTGTAGGTTTTTTGGACACACGATTTTGAAATCCTTCCGAAACCGATGGGTTTTGAGGGTTTTCGGCATACGCGCGCGACGACGCGCGCGTCTGCACTTCGTCCCATCTTTTGCAAAGGAGTCTCGCGACGGCACACGCGCAAAGATTCGACAGATTCCAACATGCGCGCACGAAGCCCGTTTGAGTGCATTGTGTGAAAATCTTGGAAAACCTATGGTGTTCTTGAGATTTCGCAAAAGCTCGCGCGGAAGTTTTTTTAGCAAATATGTGTTGCGAAACCCTGTGTTTGTATGTTTTTTGGAAACTCGATTGCGAAATCCTTCCGGCACCGAAAGTTTTTGAAGCATTTCGGCATGAGCGCGCGACGACGCGCGCGTGTGCGTTTCGTCCCATTTTTTTGCAAGGGATTCGTGAAAAGTGTTATGTTAGAACAAAAAAGTCACCGCATAATGTTTTCTCCGCATCCTAAGTGGGGTTCTTGTCTTCTCTGCACACCCTCCGCGCAGGATCTCCTCCTCCTCCCTCTCCTCTGCTCCTCTTTGCTTCCTCCTCCGCATCATCATCACCATCATCATCATTCCCCACTCATCATCATCATCACCATCAGCATCACCATCACCATCCCACGATCACTCACCATCATCGGCATCGAACGATCATCATCATCATCATCATCATCATCATCATCATCATCATCATCATCATCATCATCATCATCATCATCATCATCACTACTCGCTGACTTGAGGCCTGAATATGGAGGAAGTCTCGAGCGGGAGCCTCGTCTGTGAGTGAATTGCGAGGAAGTCTCAGGCGGGAGCCCCCTCCCTATGGGGCCCGCACTTCATGTTTGAATCCGAGCGGGTCATCCGCAACGTGCAACTGTCGTCACTTTTGGGCTCTTGAGACTTGAATATGGAGGAAGTCTCGAGCGGGAGCCTCGTCTGTGAGTGAATTGTGAGGAAGTCTCAGGCGGGAGCCCCCTCCCTATGGGGCCCGCACTTCATGTTTGAATCCGAGCGGGTCATCCGCAACGTGCAACTGTCGTCACTTTTGGGCTCTTGAGATATGAATATGGAGGAAGTCTCGAGCGGGAGCCTCGTCTGTGAGTGAATTGCGAGGAAGTCTCAGGCGGGAGCCCCCTCCCTATGGGGCCCGCACTTCATGTTTGAATCCGAGCGGGTCATCCGCAACGTGGAACTGTCGTCACTTTTGGGTTCTTGAGACTTGAATATGGAGGAAGTCTCGAGCGGGAGCCTCGTATGTGAGTGAATTGTGGTGAAGTCTCAAGCGGGAGCCCCCTCCCTATGGGGCCCGCACTTCATGTTTGAATCCGAACGGGTCATCCGCAACGTGCAACTGTCGTCACTTTTGGGCTCCTGAGAGATGAATATGGAGGAAGTCTCGAGCGGGAGCCTCGTCTGCGAGTGGATTGCGAGGAAGTCTCAAACGGGGGCCCCCTCCCTATGGGGCCCGCACTTCATGTTTCAATCCGAGCGGGTCATCCGCAACGTGCAACTGTCGTCACTTTTGGGTTCTTGAGACTTGAATATGGAGGAAGTCTCGAGCGGGAGCCTCGTCTGTGAGTGAATTGTGAGGAAGTCTCAGGCAGGAGCCCCCTCCATATGGGGCCCGCACTTCATGTTTGAATCCGAACGGGTCATCCGCAACGTGCAACTGTCGTCACTTTTGGGCTCTTGAGACTTGAATATGGAGGAACTCTCGAGCGGGAGCCTCGTCGGTGAGTGAATCGCGAGGAAGTCTCAGGCGGGGGCCCCCTCCCTATGGGGCCCGCATTTCATGTTTGAATCCGAGCGGGTCATCCGCAACGTGCAACTGTCATCACTTTTGGGCTCTTGAGATATGAATATGGAGGAACTCTCGAGCGGGAGCCTCGTCTGTGAGTGAATTGCGAGGAAGTCTCAGGCGGGAGCCCCCTCCCTATAGGGCCCGCACTTCATGTTTGAATCCGAACGGGTCATCCGCAACGTGCAAGTGTCGTCACTTTGGGGCTCTTGACACTTGAATATGGAGGAACTCTCGAGCGGGAGCATCGTCGGTGAGTGAATCGCGAGGAAGTCTCAGGCGGGAGCCCCCTCCCTATGGGGCCCGCACTTCATGTTTGAATCCGAGCGGGTCATCCGCAACGTGCAACTGTCGTCACTTTTGAGCTCTTGAGACTTGAATATGGAGGAAGTCTCAAGCGGGAGCCTCGTCTGTGAGTGAATTGCGAGGAAGTCTCAGGCGGGAGCCCCCTCCCTATGGGGCCCGCACTTCATGTTTGAATCCGAACGGGTCATCCGCAACGTGCAACTGTCGTCACTTTTGAGCTCTTGAGACTTGAATATGGAGGAAGTCTCAAGCGGGAGCCTCGTCTGTGAGTGAAGTGCGAGGAAGTCTCAGGCGGGAGCCCCCTCCCTATGGGGCCCGCACTTCATGTTCGAATCCGAGCGGGTCATCCGCAACGTGCAACTGTCGTCACTTTTGGGCTCTTGAGACTTGAATATGGAGGAAGTCTCGAGCGGGAGCCTCGTCTGTGAGTGAATCGCGAGGAAGTCTCAGGCGGGAGCCCCCTCCCTATGGGGCCCGCACTTCATGTTTGAATCCGAGCGGGTCATCCGCAACGTGCAACTGTCGTCACTTTTGGGCTCTTGAGATATGGATATGGAGGAAGTCTCGAGCGGGAGCCTCGTCTGTGAGTGAATTGCGAGGAAGTCTCAGGCGGGAGCCCCAGGAGGAAGAGGAGAGGGCAAAGGGTAAGCTAAACAGATTCTCATGCGGGGCCCTACCGTCGGTATAATTTAAACAAAGGAACCTCAAGGGGGGGATACCGGTTAGCCTGGGACATTGTGAAATCAGCTTTAGGATGGACTTGTGGTCAGAATCATAAGTAATTTACATACCCGAAAGGCGGGGCGATAACTCCGGGGGGGGTAGAGTCTATTCTCTTTTTAGAAAAGAGAATTCACATATACTAGAAATGACTTGTCACCTCCACTGTTCGCGCAATCGTCCCACCCACACAACCACGGCTTGGTTTGCAGAAATTCTGCGACGAGTGCTTGGCGTTGGCCCGCGAATCGTCGCGGCCGCGCTAGCCCGCGCACGCTCGCGCGCGCAGTGGCCCGCTAGTGCGGCGCGAACCACGCGGCCGCGGTAGCGCCGACCGCTGGGCACTTCCCAGCGGGCACTTCAGTGCGAGTCGGTGACTTGCGCGGGCGCGGTATCATGACGACGCCAGCAATGGTAGACACGATGACGAGTAGCGATGATGGTGACGACGGCGGCGACGACGACGGCAAGGCCAATGACGGTCCCGATGTTGACCACGCCCGCCGATGACGACGACGATGTCCTCGCGTCGGCAATGAATGTTTCGGACGGGGTTCGACGCGCGCGCGCGGCCGACGCGCGCGAGTGCCCCGCGTAGAAGTAGTTGACACGGGTCGTGCCCCCCCCCCCCCCCCCCAGCACGCGCGCAAGGGCGTTCGGATGAGTTCGACATGCGGCGCGAGAGGTTCGTTTGGCAGAATGCGATAGCCTCGCTGAAAAGCCGATGCT